ATGATGATGATGATGATGGCAATGATGGTGGTGGTGATGGTGGTGTTCATATGCATTCTTTCCTAAGTTTAAAAAGTTTACCTAGTTCGTAGGTAAGTTTTTTGAACATGTTCAAAATTCTTACTTATACATAGCAAACTTTTTGAACATGTTCAAAAAGTTTACCTATTCCTAAGTAATTTATTTGAACATAGTGATATTTTTGGTGGTGATGGTGGTGGTGGTGGTGATGGTGACGATGATGTGGTGATGATGATAATGATGATGATAATAATAATAATGATTATAATGATAACACAATAATGATGATATAACGCTAGATCCCATAATGCACTGGTATCTCATAACAATCAACGATATACTTGACATTTACCTGTTTGTTTGTAACATTATCAAAACTCCATTTTTGAACGTTAGTTCTGTATCTCAGCGTAGAGAAACAGCGTGTGGCCTTCGTTGTAATTTCGTCCAACTGTTCAGATACTTGAGAGAGTTCCACTGCACCATTAAGTTGCCCGGTGCCCAGCGCACTTTCTGAGGCGATGCGTTGGAACGAGCTCATGACATCATCCAAGTTCCAGAGGGTACGGAAACCAAGGGCTTTCTGGAGCTCATAGATATTTTCCATAAACGACCGTTCCAGTTCTTTGTAAGTACCAAGCAGATGTTCCAGGAAGGTTTGCCGAAGTTCTTTGGTTATAGAAGCATCTAGATTGTGTAATAGCGAAGAAAAAATGCAATCGCAATAATTTTCATAAGAATTAAATGTGCTGAACATAAGATACAAAATAATTAAATAGGCTCAACCGAAATGGCTTAATGATGTAATTTATGATTTAATTTCTTTGTTATCGTGTTTAGTTTGTACTAGCTTAGTTTGTGGTAGCTCAGTGGTTAGAGCATGGCACCGGAATCGCCAGGGCACGTGCTCAAATCCCGTTCAAGATCACTCAGAATTTTTTCTGAGTCTTTCAATTTGCAGCTGCATAAGTTGCTTCATTGAGGATCAGCTCAATTTGATGATAGCAAACACTGTGCAATAAAATTATTATACGTTAGACAATATTCATTCAGGCAGAGTATGATTAATTAGAATACCCAGACTCTCAATCCATCAAGAGACTGGCTGACTTGCAATAGACCTTGTTACCCATACGACAGATATCTTAAATTATGGGATGCCCAGAGAGTAAACGTAGAAATATTCATGTTTTACATTACACTCCAAATACCAACGAATTCAATTGTTTTTTTATTTGTTTTACGTTGGATAACGTAAGCTCATATAAAAGATAAACCCTGACAGCTGAGCTCTTGTCATTTCATAATCTCTTACTTAAGGTGACTGTCTACTTTTGGAAAAAATATTAAACTTTTTTTAAACTTCGATTTTCCGAATTCAAATTTAATGCTGATTCCATATCTGGAAAGAAAAATTGGGTGTTCCGGGCTTGTTTTTGAGATAATAAGCATTTAATGGAAGCCTACGCGCGAGCTTTTGGAGCACAAATTGCGCCACCGGAAGTGAATAGAAAAAGATTACGGTTCATAAGATAATAGTTATTTTCAGACTCTAACCGAACCTAAACAAAAACCAAAAACAAAAAACCAAAAACCAAAAACCAAAAACCAAAAACCAAAAACCAAAA